AGTGTCTACCATAAACACAGAGAAGAATTGAAACTTTGTTACTTACAACTGAATTTTCAGTGTTTGTTTCTTAGAAAAATAATTTGTTGTTTCTTTTTTAATACTTTTAACCGATATATATATATATATATATATATATATATATATATATATATATATATATATATATATATATATATATATATATATATATGAAAAAATATAGTTTCAAAGTGTGCTATATTTATGGGATAAAGTGCTCAATATCAGAGATAGAGCCTATGTAGATATAAATATAAATGTGAACTTCATTAAGTCAAAACTCAGAGCCGACAGGCTCTTTCATGCTAGACGCAATCGTCAGTCCACGAATGTTGGATTTTTCAACGACTATTTATATATATGGGTCGGTGGTGCATTGTGGGTAATTTATACTGGCGGTTATTTTTAGGGAGTGGCTTGTTTATTAATTTATTTTACTTGTTTTTCCTTTTCATTTGTATTATTTATTCTTTTCGGTTTTTGATGTTTTATTAACGTGGTAGAAAGATTGGTGGGGATTTGCTTAGGTCGCTTATTCAATAGTTTGTTTTGGTTTGGGAAGATAATTAAAACTATTTATTCGTCCCATGTTTAGATTGCTTGCTGTAGTCTATTATGTTATTTTGATGGGGGACAGTTTTTAATCTATTTATTTATGCACCGAGAACATGGCACAAATAATAAAAAAGCACAACAGGAAAACTATCAACAAACCACACGAACAAATTAAACCCACATGTAACTGTAGAATAAAGAATGAATGTCCCTTAAACGGTAATTGCTTACAAAACAACGTAATATACCAAACCACGATAAAATCACCAAATAATGAAGAAAAAGTATACATAAGAGTAAATGAAGGACCCTGGAAACAAAGAAAGTATGCACACAAAACATCTTTTTCAAATAGTAAATACGCGAACAGTACAATGCTTTCTAAGTATATCTGAGAAATTAAAAACAAAACACAAATCACACAAAAATATCATGGAAAATAATGAAAAAAAAGTGCAAATTTTTCTTGGAGGAAAAATACCTATTATTACCTTCCCAGGCCAAAATAAATTACTAAATAAAGGATCAGCTCAAAATGCAGACACGAAAACAATTTTTTACTACGTTACTTAAAATCAAAAGCTGAAATGAATAAATAAAAATAAACAAAATAATATTTTCATGATTTAAGACAAAGATTTTATAAACTTCAACCATAAAGCAATATTGGTTTCTTATTCAATGAATACTAAATGTTTCCTTGGTAATAAAGATATGAACAACAGTTTAACCAATATAAATAGTGTATATAGTTACAATAACTCATCTCAGAAATATAGACATGAGTAGATATGTTCGCTCATCGTCCAGTTCACACTACTCTTTTGGACAGGAGTAGAGGTTTATCCTGTGTTGCATGTATTTTTCAGTATCTTTCACTCCCAGTAACCATCTTGCGTCTTAGTGGCATTATCCCCTTGCTTGTGGGGGAATCGATTAAAATAAAATAAACAAAACCAACAATTTTGTTCTTTGGTATTCTCGAAAAGTATTTCTTAATTTTCTGTCGACTGATTATTGATGTCTGCTACTGTGATGTTGTTGTTGGTCATTGGTTGATGAAGCAAATAACAGATACGATAATTAATTAGGCAGAATTTTTTTATACTAAAGTTTACCTAATCTCGAGAGTAACTTAAGATAAAGTGTTACAGTCAATAAAATGGCAATACCGAATAAAGAGATTGACCTTTGACTTGGAAAGGTCAAGATCCAATTGTTCAAGGTCGAAGTGTTCAAGGTCAAAATGTTCAAGAAAGCAACTAAGCGGGAATCTCTTCCACAATGTGCCAGTTTTTGAGGGGAAAAAAGAAGCTATCTGGGTTGAAATTTGTTTTTACATTTGGAACACGTAGGAAATGAGAATGATTCGAATCTGTGGAAGTGGCAATGCGAGACCTAATTCTGAAAGTCCTAACTGGTGGGAATAGAAAATATAAAAGACTCAGATGACTTTCTTTTGTGGCCGTGTTTCTCTTCCACCTTGCTGTAATTAATCTCGTTCATTTCTCACATAGAAGACACAAAGGAAACTGGAGGCAGCTGTATTTTTTTGATCCCCACCCACGAAATATAAGTTAAATTGTTAGGACTCACAAAACAGAGATAACGTTTTCCTGACAAATGTTCACTACAGCTATTTATTGGATACAGTGTATTTACAAAAACCTTAGTTACATTAACATCCAGGCCATTAATCCAAATAAATGATTGATTTGTTTTCTATGGATTTTTTTTTATATATATATATATATATATATATATATATATATATATATATATATAATGAAATGGACAAAGTCCGACAATTATTTTAAGACATTTTTATGTTTATACATTCTTTTTATACATGCAAATTTTTAAGTAAATGCTCTGTTCATTTTTTTTAAGCGTTTCACCCCAAGCAAGGCGGGAAGCCACTAGGACGCAAAGGGTTACAGAAAATTTGGAGCAAGATCAGATAGGAGTGATAGAGGAAAGGATGAGGAGAAGGATAGTGGATAGATCAAGGCAACTGGAGATGTCGATTGACATTACATTTGAATAGTTGGAGATTATAGCTCTCAGGGAAACTGGAATAGGGAAGGGGGTTTCACAGGCGAGAGGTGCGATATATGAAGCTATTGAAGTAGAAGAGACGGCTACATTTAGTAGTTTCAACAGTGAAAGGGTGAGAGCGGGATGCCAGCCTCGTAGGGCGCTTGAATTTATGAAATCTGGGAACCCGCGAATGCAGCTTCTCGGAACAATTACCATGAAAGTATTTGTAAAAAAGACAGAGAGAGGCGACGGCGCGTCTGTGAGAGAGCGACTGTAGACGAGATGCCAGAACAGGGCCAATTATATTGCATATCCGTCTCTGGATCTTATCAAGAACCCCGAGGCAAACAGAAGGGACTCCAGACCATATATGGCAGAAATACTCTATGCAAGGGTGAATTGTTGATTTGTAGGTCTGAAGGATCGATTCAGAGGAGAAAAATTTCCTGGCGCGGCACAGGGAGCCAACTTTCCTTGCGGTGGACGAAGCAATTGACTCAATGTATTTGTTCCATCTCAGGTCAGCAGTCAACGTGAGACCGAGCAGCCACAGAGAGGTGCTCTCGAGAAGTTGAGCGTCAGACATTCTAATGGAGGGAAGGATCTCTGTGGTGATTAATAGAGAGCAGTTTTGTCTTAGAAGCGTTAAAGTTGACCAACCAATTCCTGCCCCAGTTCACAACCGATTGGAGGTCCTTTTCGAGACGCACGGCCAGGTTAGTTTTGTCAGCGACACTAGATTTGGTTTTTGAGGCAGGAATAAATTGTGGTGTCATCCATGTAGATGCCAACTTGGGAATTTATGGCGTCAGGAATGTCATTTATGTAGATAAGGAAAAGAGTTGGGCCAAGGATGGAGCCTTGGGGAACACCTGTGTTCGTGGAATAGGAACTGGAGAAGAATCCGTTGAGAACGACCTTCAATTCACGGTTTGACAGGAATGATTGTATTAGGTTAAAACAGTATTAACAACATTTACCGGCCTGTATGTCTGAGAAGTTTTCATAGAAAATATGCGTCCTCCAACAAGAATCCAACCTGTATCCTATACGGAACCGTCATATAACCTGACGTGCTTTTACTGATTTCACCACAGAGGAATTTGAATACGCATCGAGCAGATATGAATGTACGTGAGAGAATCATGGTAGATTCTAGTTTAAAAACAGTAAAATCGACCTTGCTAACCGAACGCTCCTCTGTGGTGAAATCGGTAAAAGCACGTCAGGCTATATAACGGTTCCGTATAGGATACAAGTTCGATATATATATATATAGCAATAATTATTTTTATATCTATAGTACGATGTGACTTATTTAAATGTCATGACTGTAATTCGTCTTCAACAGCTCTCAATGTGAGGCATCCGTCGGCCTCGAGATCTACACCTAAAAAGTTAGGCCGCAGTGGCTGATGATGGCGCAGCATCTGTGATGTCTGTACAGGCCCACACGGTAGTGACAGTCTCGATTACAACTAATGCATGTGAAGACGCTCTCACCCGATGATATTGTGTTGTTTTCTTTCCTCCGAGTACGCTTCTTCTCAGCGGTAAGCCTCCGTTTCTTCTCTCCTCGCTGTAAATCGGGTTGCCAGTGATCGTTGGCAACGTCTTCCCACCTCTTGATGTCCATTCAGGCCGGTAAATGTTACTTAATACTGTTTATTATAAACAGAGCATTTACTTAAATAATTGTATCTATAAAAAGAATGTATAAACATAAAAAATGTCTTATATATATATATATATATATATATATATGAAAGAAAAATACAGAAAAAACAAAATTCTGAATATGCATTATTAATGTTAAAATAAAGTCGACGTCGGACGTTTCGGTCTATTTAAGACCATCTTCATGGACATTTTCATTTAAACATAATTAACATTAATAATGCATATTCAGAATTTTGTTTTTTCTGTATTTTTCTTTCATACTGTCGGATTTATATCCATATATTTGCTCACACATATATATATATATATATATATATATATATATATATATATATATATATATATTGCATGTTATTTAAAACCAGAAAATATTTTTCAGATTTTAAACAAGAAATTTTATTGGACAATTCATCTCACTGGAAAACGACTTTATTATTTCGCCTCTATGATTGATTTGTTTTTAACGGCTTTTCAACCTTTTGAAGGTTATTTAAAGCCACAAAATATTTTCAGATTGTAAAATTTTTTTGCTTAGACAAGAATGATTTAGTTATGCATACTGGTAGGGGATAAAAGGTTTATTCACACCATTCCCAAGGGAATTTGCGTGTAAGTAAATATAACGAACTCAACGGGAATTGGAACACAGCTATCCTATTAACAATTTCGATCTATTATCCATTGCATTACCCGCATATCTAAACTTACAGCACCTGGAATTCCCAAGCAGTAACACATCTACGTACTGACCAGGCTCGACGTTGCTTAACTTCGGTGATCGTACAGAAATAGGAGTTTCAACGTGATGTGGATTTATAAAAATAGTAAAGAATTTAAGGTGGATCAAAATTAATATCTATCCTATGGTTCGATTTGGGTTTGATTTTTCTTACTGTTTATCGACCTTTTCCATATTGTTGAATGCCGAATACTCTCGTACAGTGAACAGTAAAAGAAGTAGATATAGGAATAGATTTCGTTTACAGAAACGTCAAAAAGGTAGATATAGACATAGGTTTGTTTCCCACAAGCGCCAGCAAGGTAGATATAGGCATAGGTTTGGTTTAAACAAGTCTTAAAAAGGTTGATATAGGCATAGGTTTGGTTTGAACAAGTCTTAAAAAGGTAGATATAGGCATAGGTTTGGTTTGAACAAGTCTTAAAAAGGTAGATATAGGCATAGGTTTGGTTTGAACAAGTTTTGAAAAGGTAGATATAGGCATAGGTTTGGTTTGAACAAGTCTTAAAAAGGTTGATATAGGCATAGGTTTGGTTTGAACAAGTCTTAAAAAGGTAGATATAGGCATAGGTTTGGTTTGAACAAGTCTTAAAAAGGTAGATATAGGCATAGGTTTGGTTTGCACAAGCGTCAGCAACGTAGATATAGGCATAGGTTTGGTTTGAACAAGTCTTAAAAACGTACATATAGGCCATAGGTTTGGTTTGCATAAACGTCAAAAGGGTAGATATAAGCATAGGTTTGGTTTGAACAAGTTTTAAAAAGTTAGATATTAGCGTAAGTTTGGTTTGCATAAGCATCAAAAGGTTATACATAGATTTGATTTGCACAAGCGACAAGTTAGCTACATAGGTTTATTTTCGACAGACGTCAAAAAAGTAGATATAGCCATCGATTTGTTTTGCACGATAATCAAAAAGATAAAAACAAGTTCAGCTTGCTATCGAATAAGAAAGAAGTAGACATATATTTAGCTGTGCAAGTGTTAAAAAGGTCGATATATATTTAGTTTTCACCAAAGACACTATGTTATAGATATAACAAATTGGTGACACTGTTTTGAATTTCTTTTTACAGTTCCGGACAGTATTCAGTCGGCGTATTTATGTTCTCAACCGACAGTTGTGAATTATTAGGTATTTACTAATACAAAAGGCCACTAACTCACTAACCATGAACCACTATCTCTATAATCAAACAACAAACTGTGACACAAGAGAGCTGATTGAGGATCAGTTAAAATGAGTGCTCGGAAAACTTAGTTGAAGAAGCATCCTTTTTGTTTTTCTTAACACCGTATTGAATTTTTCTCCCAGACTTGTTGCCAACCAAAGCAGTAAAAACGACATCTGTCATATTATTTGTTGCAGCATATCTACGGACGATAATCGGTATATCCCCATTCACATAAATACATTAGTAAATAGTGTATGTTAGTCTCCATTTTGAGTTTCGTCTCCGACTGTGCTGATCTCTGGAGGCAGAGAGGACGCCCAGCCATGGCTATGTCGAAGGGAAGAGTCTCGTCTCAGGAAACAGCTACTCGGCCCCGTTTTATACGGGGTCTACGGGGGATTTTTTGCTGAATCTACGGGCTTGAATAGCCCACATTAAATTCGGCCTTGTTTCACATCTGACCGCGTGAGGCGGTTGGTAGATATCCTTCATTTGGAGAGTCGTCTCCGGCTATACTTTTCAATCTCTCTGCTTCCAGGCAGATGCCCAGACATGGCTATGTCGGAGGGCAGAGTCTGGTCTCGGGAAACAGCTATCAGACCATTTTATACGGGGTCTACGGGGAATTTTTGGCCGAGCCTATGGGTTCGGATACCCCACATTAATTTCGGCTTTGTGCGACATCTGAGCGCGTGGATCTGTTGGTAGGTATCCTGCATTTGGAGATTCATTGTGGAATTCACTTGATTCACTTCTAGGAGTTGAGTACTTCTACGCACCGCTGGCGAATCCTATATGTGTTGTTCTTGTCCTAAGTATTATTGTTCATTACCAACCTTCGTTTGATTATTCGATTCAGTAACATTCCCTAAGTTACAACATTATTTAATCTACAGCTGGAGTAAAATGGAATCAAACCTTTTTTTTTCAAAGACTGTAGAGCAAAATGAATAAAAAGAAGTGAACTGAATTTGATCTCTGTCTGCCGATTCCACATTTCGCGTCGCAGAACGGATGGCGACATGCATAAGTAAAGAACTAGGAAGCAAACAGATTTTATATTTAGATAGAATTTGACGAAAATGTCCTATTTTCTTTCGCTAGTAGACAAATTAATTAGTACACAGAATTGTGTATATGACTTAAATGTTTGCAGGTGCATTAGCGTGACAAACATGTATACGGCCACATAATATTTTTTTGTTCATATTTTTCCGAATTTAATTAATTTTCCTAATTCGTTATGTGATTGCTATAAGTCCATCTATCTATGTTTCGATATTGTTTCAGAAAAGAAAAAAAAGAAAGCCTGGTGCTTTTCCGTTGATTTTCATTGCAGTTTAATTCGGATGATTTTTTTTTTTTTTTCACTGTTTTTCTTATTAGTATTATAACTCATATTATTGAATTTGCGCTGAATTGTTTTGTAAGTCGTGTTCACTCTGCTTACTTGTCCAGATAAAAGAAATGCAGAGTCGACCTCATTTAATGAATCTATAATTACATTATGTGAATTAAATGAAGGCGTGTATCTGCGCGTGCGCATGTTCGCAGGAAAGAAAAATACATCGCAGCTGCACGACACGTATTTCTACAGATAAAAGATTGTTTATGTCACACGCATACAGGCAAACGTACACAAAAGCACATAAAATACGTATTCCTGCGTATGTATTAAAGTACGGGGTGATTCTGAAAAGTACACCGCCCGACAAATAAGGTATTCAAAAGTATTCTATGTTTAATATTTCGTTGAAATCTACATAGTAAAGTTCTCCAGGATTGACTAGACAAAGCAAAAAACTCTTAACAACGTTAAATCCAATAAAATTATGTCCATATTAGTAACCCGAGTATTACACGATCTTCAGACGATTGGGCGTTCAATTTTTCTTTAAAATTACGTGAGCGTGAAACTCGGGTTACGACTAGGGCCATCATTTCGTAAGATTTAACGTTTTTAAGCATATATATATATATATATATATATAGAGAGAGAGAGAGAGAGAGAAAAGGAGAGAGGAGGCACGGTGGAGTAGTGGGTAGCGGCTCGGATATATTATGTTCCATTAAAAACAACAAACACGGTACTACGGTTAAGCTTTTTATTTAATTTTTCTTGTGTTCGAACAAAAGCAAAGAGTGTGTAGAAACTGTCCAAATGTTTTATAGTTCCGAGCGCTTACGGCTATACCTTCTGCCATTATCAAGGATGATTCGATTTTTCAGCTTGATTGAGTGTGTGCATTGTGTATGTTTTAGTGTGTTGTAGGGGTGTTTTAATTTCCGAATACGGTTATCCCATTGTGGCCTTGTTCGTAGTTCATATTGTTAAGAGTTGGCTTTTTCTTTTTTTATTATTAAAGCATTCATTATTTTAATCTTTTTTTTTACAGGTTGACGCGGTTATTATATTTGTGTTTTCTACTAGTATGTTTTCTAATATATATATATATATATATATATATATATATATATATATATATATGAACTGTCATCTTCAAACTAGATCCCCAAAAGGTTTGCAAACTTGACTGTGTCCTTGCAATTGCCCTTAAGAAGTGAACTCATAAACAAGTTTCTGTTCTCTCCAAACTACTACTTGCTTTCAAGCTGATTGGAAATCCTCTTCTACGGTTCCTGTCTTTAGGAACTCTGCTGAACCGTCGCTTTTAATCTTTTAATTCTTTCTGGCAATTCTGAATTGGCTAGGCATCTAACATCACACAGCCTTCTTCCTTATGAACAATAAGGCATTCGTTTCTCCTGGTCTACTGCCGATGTGCTAACGGCTATCACTGAATTCGTTGATCCAGTTTTAGATAGGAACGGTGAGGCGAGGCCTGTGGCTTTAGATGTCTTGAGGGCGCTTGACATGCTTTGGCATGCTAGACTTCTCCACAAAGTCAAAGTCCATTGTGTCTCTGGTCAAATATTTGACTTAATTCAATTGTTTTTAACAAATCGGGTAATGAAAGTTGTGTTGAGTGTCAATATATATATATATATATATATATATATATATATACACGTTTCATTAAATAATGTAGACAAGTGTTGTCTATTTATTTTATGTAAACTCTTTTCATAACGTCTAATAAGTTTAATAACATTATAATTGAACGAAGAAAGAAATTCACAATATTGATCTATATTTTTTTTAAACTGTTTAATGTATAATGCTTCAAGGATTTTTAGTTTTTGTCTGTTGTTCTCATGTCGAAGTATAATCGTGTTTTCGACAAATATTTTACGGAATTGTGTGTGCGGGCAGGCGTGTTGTTTTAAATGCCTAAAAATGTTAGAGTTTTCATTCCAATGTAGTGTCAAGCGTCGTGAAAACAATAGACAAAAACTAAAAATCCTTAAAGCATTATACATTAAACAGTTGAAACCCAACCTAAACAAAATCAACTATGGAATCTCTACAAATATCCTTAAATGTCTGTAGTTGGTGACGGAGGCCATTGGTTTGTGACAACGGCTTTCCATACTTCATACTTCCACAATTCACTCTCGTGTGGTCATGTGTGACGTCATGAGATGCGGTGCGATTTTCGCTTCTAGCGTCTTATATGCATGTGTTTATCGTTGCTTAGAGATCATCTATGTAAACATTCACAGACTGTCATCACTGTCTTGTCCGTATATTGCTTAATGTGTTGTAATTGACATGTTTGATAATGGCTTATTTAAGCCGAAAGCTTAGATTGTATTTAAAAAATTATGGATCAATATTGTGAATTTCTTTCTTCGTTCAATTATAATGTTATTAAACTTATTAGACGTTATGAAAAGAGTTTACATAAAATAAATAGATAACACTGGTCTATATTATTTAATGAAACGTGTATAAATGAAAAGATGCTGCCTAAATACACACAATTT